TATATATATAAAGCGCAAGGAACCGATTGGGACAACAAATGGAAAGTCTTCGTCGAGAGGAGAAAGAAGTCGCGCAAATTTTAATTCCTTGTCCTTTCTTTTTCGCGATTTCACGTTTGCCCAGGCAACGTTTGCGAATCGAATCGATTTATCCAAAGTTCCACGATTGGATTTCGCTCGTTCGCTATCGGAGATAATGATGGAACTCGAGAAGAGAGACAAAAAGCGACTAATCCATGAAAAGAATCGATGCGACTTCGAATTATGTCGGAGAGAAAACAGGAACGGCGGATCGTTCGAGAGTTTGAAGTGAAAAAAAAAAACTCGAGTAAATAAAGTGTAAAAACCGACTCGAGTTATCGCGAAGGATAAAATTTAAACGGAATTCAACTATCGAGAACTATCGAGGGAACGATAGAACTTTCTGTCGAGAGGAAGGGGAGGAAGGGAAAGGACTCCTTAAAACTTTGTTAAAGAACGAGATAGATAGAATCCGGAAAACACGAAACTCTTGGCTGCATCAAGTTTGTATCAGCCAAGGGTGGCATTCGGGAAAAAATTAATTAACAATGCCGTTCATCGTTCATTCGAAGATAAGACTTTCTTTTTTTTTTTTTGTAAATTCCCGCGGTATTATCCATCGTATTTTTGTTTCTTTCCCTCCCCTTGGATTCCTCTTTCTTTTTTAAAATTTCATAATGTTATAAAAGGGAATTAAACGAGTAAAAAAAAAAAACTCGGATAAAACTATTTTAGAAGATATTTCCATACCTTGCCGCTCGACTCGAAAATCTCGAAAAATATCCACTTAAAAGAAGAATTGCCTCGGGTTATGGGCAAATTAGCCCGCGGATAGCGTACAAAATGATCGTTCGTTACGTTAAAGGCCCACCTTCGTCTGATCCCTCGTTTTTCCCCGCTTTTGTTAACCCTTTGACCCGCGAGATCTTAAATTATCAACCAACCTCGCTCACTCTCTCTCTCTCTCTCTCCTCCCCTCTCTGTATCTCCAAAATCATATTCCAACTAACTTAAATAACGAAAAAGAAAAAAGAAAAAAAAAAAAAGGAAGAAGAAAAAAAAGAAAAATCCGTCCAGATTTATTTCCCTGAAAAGAATTACACGCACAGAAAGATCATGGTGTTTTTTTGTCGTCGACTGAAACATTTATTTTTTTCTCTACTTCGTAAAAAATTAATTCTTCGGCCAAAAATTTCGCGATTTGACGAAATTTTCCACTCCAGTTCGAAGATTCGAGCAAAAGGGGGTTAAGGGTTTAGTTTTATTCGCTGAATAAAACTCGCAATTCCCCGAATGTTCATCAAAGGGCGAAAAAAAGTCCAAGGTGATTCATAGTCACCCCGTAAATTTCCACTTTCTAAACACAGGATAGAGTAGAAAACGGAGTGTGTTTTCCTCCCCTCGTGTATCTTAACTGCCATTAATCCACATTATACCGTGCATCTAATCTCTTCGAATAACAAGAGCGTTTGCGTTTCTCGTGTTACGAGAAAGGAACGACTCGGAATAATCTTCTTTGCTCTCGAGATTAAGCCATTAGCATCGGCCGTGTCATTATCAAGATTCAGAACGTTAATTCGTGGAGGATGGGCGACGAGGATAATCGTGGGGCACAATTTTAAGCCTCCAGGCTTTCGATTATCCGATTGAATATCGACTTAATCCATTTCGCATCCATCGACGAAATCTCCACCTTATTTTATCCCTCTTCTTTATCGCTCGTTTCCAAATCTTTAACGATCCTCGAAATCGATACAGAGAGACAGAGAGAAAAAGACAGGGAGAAAGAGTGAGAGGCGTTCTTCTCGCGGGGAAAAAAAGGGAGGGCAACTAAACTGGTGCCGCATCTCTGCACGCAGTGGCGGGAATGAAATTAGAATTCATGATCTGTCAAAAAGTTGGGCCATTAGGTGGCCAAGCGGAAACTATTAGATGGAAAGCACGAGGCCGGCCGATTGCGCTCGCTACGTCTGTCAGGGAAGAGAGGAGAGGATTTCGCTGTGACGTGGAACTCGGGGCGAGATTTATTCCCGGCGAAACTCTACCGGCACGTCCCACGCAACTCCCCCCCCTCTCTTGTTTCGCGAGAGAAGAGGATCGATGGTTCCGGTTTTCGATGCGGAATGGTTATTTATCTTGGCGGATTTTTTTTATTTTTTTCAAACTGGGTGTTTTTCACTTTTTCCACGACCATTCCTTCGAATTTAAAAATTGAATTTCTTCGACATCGACTTCGGGCAAAGGGGATTAACAAAGGGGAAAAATTAACTCCTCGACTCGCGTTGGCAGAGAAGTTGTTTCAACTTGGTTCAGAAGAAGGAAAGAAAAGAGAAGAAGAAGAAGAAGAAGAAGAAGAAGAAAGGAAACATGGATACTCCGCTCGGTTCGAATAAGAAGGAAAGCGAGTTCCCTTCGTTTGTTTTCGGAGAGAGAAAGAAGCGGCCCTCCCCCACGCTAAAATATCACGAAACCCAATTCAGACGGGGGAGTTCGTCAAACATCCCGATCCCTTCGAATCGACAAAGAGAATCGTCGAATCCCCGTCGAGGAGGAGGACTCTTTTGCCGAGACAGACGGCATCACAGCTCGGAAGACGAGATAAACCGGTCGACGTTTTGGGAAACTCGCGTCATATCAGGCCGAACATCGTTCCGAGCATCTTTCTTCACCCTTCTTTCACCCCTCCTCGAAACCCCTTCGTTTCAATTCCCCCTCCACCGAGAGTCTGAGAAAAATTCGATCTTTCCCGGGATCGGGATGGCATCGACACCAACCAGGAAATGAAATTCTGGGACGGGCCGAGAAACGGTAAATATGAGGCGTGCACGCGGAAATAAACGATCGTGGGGGGACGAGAAAATCGTGCGACGATATTTTTTTTCGAAGGAGAAGAAGGCTCGTCGTGACTTTTCGCGAGGGTGGAGTGGGGCATTCATTCGAGCCGCATAATTCCCGCGATACGGGCGAGGCCGAAAAGCCCTCTTTAATTAAACCCCGCTCCCCTTCGACCGTTTAATTCGAAGGATTTTTTTTCTTTTTTTTTTTTTTTGAAATAAACCGCATCGCGCGTGGAACATCGAGGGATCACGAAGATTACGCGCGGGTCCATTTCGTTTTTCCCGTTCCTCGCCAATTTTATCGTGGGCGAGGGAAATATTTTTTAAACGGGCCTCTCTTTGATCGTCGTCCCTGTTTTGCATACAAACGTACATATAAACGAGACGCGAACCTTTCTCTCTTCCTTTCTTTCTTCCTTCTTTTTTTTTTTTTTTTGTACAGAGAAATTGAAAGAGAAGACGCACGAATTTAATTCAACGAGACGGGAGAAAGAGGAGAGAAAAAAGTTCGGTATCGATCTCGCGAGCGAACTCTTCGTTGGTTAGCGCGACTCGAAAGGTTAGCATCGTAAAAAACCATTATCCCTTATTTCGGACTTTGAAACGAGAACCGGAGATACATCCATCCGTAAAACGCGGAATCTACGTGGCCCGTTTAAACTCGTTTCGACTAGGAAGCCATCAAATCCACGAGAGGCGGGGGAAAACGTACGGGGCTCCCCCGGGCATATTGGGTCAGGATGACACAAAGTTTCGAATCTGTGCACCTCTCTCTCTTTCTCTCTCTGCCGGAGAGAGGCGATCCTCTCCTCCTCTTCTAGAAACCGCCGCGGTTCATCCTTCGAACGGTTATCCAAGACGCGTTTCAACGATGAATTTCCATCATTTGCATTTCTATGAGCGATCTCGGACGCGGAATCCATCGAGTTCCACCACGTTCCAACCAGATTACGCGAATTTCCGTTGGTAACGCGATCCCTTCCCTTCCTCTATTCGGCCTCCATCCCCTCCGCCGTTTCGCCTTTTATTCCCGGCCGATCGCACTTTTCAACCGGCTCATCTCGGTCGAAAAGCTTCCCAACTCGGGGATGGATCGAGCTCGAACGTGGCGCGAATGAAAGAGACGGAGCAAGGCTTCGAATCGAGAAGATAGACCACGAATATTTTGCTTCTTAACTCGTGGATGATCCGTTACAGCGAGTGAACTTTCTCGGGGAATAATAATAATAATAATAATAATACGGGAAATCAAACTCCATTTGTTGAACATTTGAAAAGACCTGGAAGAAAGCCTAGCCTAGCGTAACGCCAATTGGAATTCCTTGCTCGAACAGCGTTTGATAAAATACGCAAGAAGGCGTGAATATCGTGTTCGAGTTATGGCGAGTTATCGATGGAGGAATGTGATTTCGAATTAAAGCCGCGATTCTAAAATCATCGAAGGGAGTCGTCGTCTAGGTTGGGCCCTATCTCGCGTCGGTCGTTCGAAAAAACACCTACAACCTCGCCCACGATCTCTTGCAAAACGCTTTGCAAGGAACGAGCGAGAAGCGGCTGCAAATACGGCGCGTGTATCATCCGAATCCGAAAGGTGGGACGAGGAGGATAAGTCGAGGCAAGCTTCGAACAGAGACTTATCCATATTGTCCGCGAAATCTTTATCGAATCCTTTATTTATATTCTTTCGCGCTCGACACGCCTTCCACGAGAGAGAGAGAGAGAGAGAGAGGCGTTCGATCCCGTTGAAAATCACAGGAATTGGCTGCGTACGAGTTCCTTCTCTGCGTAATCGCGCGACATCGAATCACATTCTCCGCTGGAATGTCGCTACGAAACTCTATTCTCCTTGGCTCGCTCCAAGAATTTCCCCCAACTTTTCGAACAGCGATACATCGCTCTTCTCTTCCCCGGGGGTTGTCGAGGGACAACCGATTCGAATTCGAAACCAAGTTTCTTCATCGTCGAAAGGAGTTGTACAGAGATCCTGCTCCCTGTGAGGCTTCCAATATTTATCAAACGCTCGTTCGTGACGAAAAGTGATACACCTTGGTTCAAAGGGGATCTCGGATCTCTCATATTTAAAGCGAGAGTTATCTCGTAGGGTCGACGTAGAGCGCACGGGGATAATAAAAAGCGACTTACTCAGCGTGGCGTTGTTGGCACGTGACTGGTCGGTCTGCGACCTGAGTAATCGCAACCGATTCAGTTTGCTTTGTTGTTGGTCCAACCTGTGCCTCAATCTGGCGAGTTTGTCCTGCTGTGCTGGCTCCTGAAACAGCAAATACCGGTCATTGAATACGGGGAGGGGGTGGATGAATACAACGGAATACCGGCCACCAAAGTGAATACGGGGCTGATGAATGGAACGGATAGTAAAGGGAGGCGAGAGAGGGAGAATATTTCAAACGAGTAAGAGGGAGTTTTCACGACGACATTTACGCGTTCCATCTTTTAAAATATTAACACTACTCCTGGAGTGGCAAACTACACGAGCGAAACGAGCTCCCTTCCTTCGCCGACTAACAACCAATTTCAAAGGATTTTCGCTAATCGTTCACGCGCATTCTCCTCGCATACCACCACGTCCAAACATGAAAATCGGAGATCCTGTTCCGGGGATCTTCTCTAAAATTTAACGCGGAATTTAACAGCGTCGCGACCAAGTAGCAGACCAGAGGTCGTCCAGCAGTAATCTCTTCCCGAGAACGTTAACCGAAATTAGAGCTTTCCGCGTGGAAACTGAAATTCGCTCCTCGAGTCTTTTTCTCTCTCTCTCTTTTTTTTTTTCGCTCCATATAGCGTACGTAGCGTGGATCGTTAAGCTCAGGAGAAAAGCTCGTCGTCCTGCTGGAGGAACGAATGGAGGGGATTCGTGGCTGAAACTTTCCGTATCTTCTTTTATATATCGAGATCTCGTCCCGGGGAATAGAGGCGACGCCGAGGATTAAAGTTTTCGTGTCTGAGAAAATCCTGGGCCGAGCCTTGTCGCCCTCTCGATTCTATCTCGTATTACTTCCAATTGCCGGGGAATCTGCCGCGAGCGACCGAGCATCTTCGCGCGTGTACAGTTGTCGCGCTCCATTTTCTCGAGGCGAGCGCACATCTCTCTCACAGCGAGACCTTTGTGTGAGAGAGAGAGAGAAGAAGAATCTCGTCGTTCGAGAATCGATAATTTTTCTTTCTTTTTCTTTTTTTTTTCTCTCCATTTTCTTGGCGAATCGAGCGAAGCGTCAGAATCGTTGTTACAAAGTAATGAATGGGAGATTAGACTGACGTCATTTAACGTAGGAGAGAGGTAAGCGGAGGGCGCGACTCGACGCTCTTAATCTCGTTAATATCGTGGAAGAAGAGGCTCGTTACACGCGCGTCGAGTGCTAAGCACACGAGGAAGCGAGGAAACGTTGTCGTCGTCGTCGTCGTCGTCGTCGTCGTCTTCCACCAAGAATTCAACGCGTTACGCGCTTGACTAGCTCGCTACAGGGTGCGAGTCGAGTCGAGTGGACTGCGCGATCTGATTAAAATCGCGCGCCTAAGCGGATCCGGGTTTAACCGGTGATTTGAACGCCTCCAACCCTCGTACGGCCTCGTCGATACCAGCGCCATTTCGCGTCATTCATCCTCACATCTACGATACGGAACGAGATCTTATTCCAAATTATCTCGATCGTTTCGCGAGTAGAGCACAATTATTTCCATGTTCCACGAGCGTAACGATGATTATGATCGATTATATCAACGCGATCCAAAATTATTTCCTTAAAAGTGTGATCGTGACATTTACGATACCCGAATTTATTCTAAATTATCTCGATCGTTTTGTGAGTATAATACAATTATTTCAATATTGCACAAACGATGATTGTGATCGAAGATCAACGCGTCGATCTTTAAAAGTGTTTTCACGCAATGGCATCGCTCGATGAAGTTTTATTACAGATTAAGTTTCATTCGAACTTCATCCCGTTTTCACGAAAAGGAACAACGATACATCATTTCCCGACGTAATCGCTATCTCTCGCTCTTTTCAACACGGAATCTCCATGATCGGAGGTTCAGGATCAAGGTCATGGTTAGCAAAGCTAACGGTAGGTGCATTGGCCTCGCTCCATCTTTTATTCGTCATTCCATTACGCGCAACATACGCATACGCGCGCGAATTCATCAACGATACGCGTAATCGATGACGAATTTCTTGTTTCCTCGAGGAAACGCTCTCAGGATTCCTTTCGGCCGAGCGTTGATTCCTCAAACACGGGGAAACCCGACTGTTTCGCCAAGTTACTCTCAGAAGAAGAAGATTGACAATGCTGGATGGATGTAATTGCCGGTTGCCCTTACGCTCCATCTTGCGCTCCTTCCAATGATAGAAACCCGTTAATTATTTACCACCCGGCCGTGGTGGTTGCATAGCAGGTGTTCTCCGGAATATCTCACACGATTCCCTTCCAACTCCCTCCCTCTCTCTCTCTCTCTCTCTCTCTCTCTCTTCTC